TCATTGCCACTTATGCTTTACCCCGCGACAATTAAAACAATATAAGATACAATATCATATCATTAAAAAAATAATGGTGCTTCACAAATTGTATTGTAAGTTTAAAACTTTTACGCTGGTTACTAACAATACAAGACTCTACTGAACGACATAAACAGCACAGACTTATACATTACACCTATACACCCTTATGCATATACAGCCTGTTTACATCGTTTGCATGCTTTTTGTTCTTTCATAGATAAACTATCTTTGTTTGAACTCATCCTTATTTAAATAATATTTTTATTTAATAGATAATATGTGGTTGAAATGTTGATATAGATTTGTATGTTATCTATATGTGTTTATAATGTGTGATTAAGTTTTTCATTTATAATTCATATATATATATATATATATATATATATATATATATATATATATATATATATATATATATATATATATATATATATAAATGTATATATATATATATATAAATGTATATATATATATATATATATATATATATATATATATATATATATATATATATATATATATATATATATATATATATATATGTGTGTGTGTGTGTGTGTGTATATAAATATAAGAGCGATTCTTACAAACTAGCAGCTTTCGACATGTTTTTATAATGTATGTTTTCCCTTGTTATTTTGTTATGGTCTCAAAATTACATTTAATTCGGACCGTAGAGAAAACTTTACTTTTTGAAAATTTCGATTTAGATATGGTCTCAAAATTACTTTTAATTCGGACCGTAGAGGAAATGTTACTTTTCGGAAATTTTGATTTAGATATGGTCTCAAAGTTTTTTTTAGTTCGGACCGCAGAGAAGACTTCATTTTTTAATAATTTTTTCCCGCTTTGTACACCATTTTTACATTACGACTTATATCGTTGTTATATTATCCACAGCTAGTTTTTTCACCACTCATTTGGCTTAAAATTATCTGGTTTTATTGCAATATTTAGTTAGTCTTTGTTGCAGTGTTTGTTGATATATTATTTATCTCCTGATTCTCATATTATTACTGTTTGTTGCATTTATTTCTCAGCTTTGTTTTAAGTTTCACATGCACATTTTTCATCTTTATTATTATTCAGAGAATATTTTTATATCCTTCATTAAATGTTTACATATATGCCGCTTACATTTTTAAGGTTTTTGTGCAATGTTCTCTTTCGCTATCATATATTTTTCAATTATTGTTATGATAATGGGTTTCGCGGGCTGCTTATTTTCCTACACTTTTGATTGGTTGTCATATTTCGAATGAGGTATCTATGACAGCGTTAGAGTTTATTTAAGGCTATTGTTGTTTTGTTGATATAAAAAATTTTTCTAATGAGGTATACTGCTTTCTGATAATAATACCTATTTGGTTTTATTTCTTAAAATAAATTTATGAAATTTTTTTTTTTTTAATGTGTCTATTAGAATTTTAATTTATTTTGTTTTCATGTTTTCTTTTGGTGGTATGGTAAGTTTTTTATTTATTTATTTTTATTTTTATTTGTTCAGTAAATCTACACTTTTTATATCATATCATCAAAAAAATATTGGTGCTTTACAAATTTAGGTTGGTTGGGTTTTGGCTATTTGTAGTGAGTCCTTTTTTACTGCAGTATGGAATAGGCGCAAGTTGCAGGGTAAAGCATAAGTAGTGATGACGTTTGTCTGATGGGATAAACTAGTTATAAATGCTGATTCTCATCGAAACGCCAGTAATAATAGACGCGACTCTGAGGAGATGTTTATTACTTAATCACGACACAAATTATGTTTACACATTAGCATTAATGTTTGTTTTTTTTCCATTATTAAATGCACATTGTTGTTATCAGATTTTTTATTTTGTGATCCGTTTTTTGTTTTACAAGTTTTTGTCTGGTGATATATATCTTCGTTCATATTGGTGTTTATAAAACAATTTTTTTTATTTTTTTAAATTTATTATTATTGTTATTATTGTTGTGGGTGTATAGCCTGTTTTATTTATTTTTAAATATTCCTCTAATTAATCTTTATTTTTATCTTAACAACTGTCAAAATATGCTTTGTCTAATAAATAATTCTCCTTTATTCTAATGTACTTCATTTCTTCCCTCAGGCGTTCACTGCTTGTGTGTGACCATTCGACAAATTTTACATGCCAAAGTTTATAAATAATATTGGGCCTAGCCCGTAAGGGTTAGTGTTACGGTTATCGAGCAGGACTATTTTCCTAATCGCAATTACTGTCACCGCGAAAAAGGATGTTTGTCTGTGGAAGATGCCTGGGCTAGCTTTTTAGTCATAAGTCAGTTCTAAATCCATGCATAGGTGTTTAATCCATCACAAAATAAAAAATCTGATAACAATGAGAGGCATTTAATAATGGAAAAGATAGAGTAGATAAATAAAAGTCAATAATTTAATAATGGAAAAAAAATTTGTATATATATATATATATATATATATATATATATATATATATATATATACAAATGCTTGATATATATAAAATCGCTTTTATATATATATATATATATATATATATATATATATATATATATATATATATATATATATATATATATATATGAACTATTTTTTAAGATTTTACTGCATAGCAATTAAAAGATTTTAACTTATAAATGAAAAAAGTGATTTTTATTAGATTTTTTTTATTATAAATTTTGTAAAATGATTATTTCTTTTGAAATATGTACCTCGGAGGTATTTTTAAACTTTTACAAGTATTAAAAAAAAAATACTTTCAATATGTTCTGTAACAATATATTTTCTATAACTTTATGATATTTGTTACTCTAGGATTTTTTATTAAAGATTCAGTCAAATTTTTTCATCCCTTTTTTAATTTAAAAAAATAGCTTACACTACAGCAAAGGTACACCACCAAGGTGGTGATACATGATCACCACCATTTTTAAATAATAGTAATTATGCTTATTAAATACTTAATTAAATTAAAAAAAGACTATGGAATAAAAATTAAAAATAATTTAAACAAAAAATGGAAAAGAATTACAACAATGTTATAAAAATATAGTTGAAAAAGAATGAAAAAGAAATTTTTAAGAACGGAATTTGTTTCAGAATTTTTGATGATTCAGAATGGAATTTGAATTTACAACCGAATGCGTTTAAATGAGTCTTGACAACGATCCTGCTATATTCTGCTATATAATAAATTTATATTTTCATTCAGGCAACATGATTCATGTTGCCCCATGTATCATGATTCCTCATTCTCTCCTAGTTAAATGGCCGTGTCTAATTTATTGATAAGCTTAAAGTAATTTAAATATAATTTTAACTTATTGAAATTTTTTTTTAGGTTAACAAAATTTATTTAATAATGGAAAAAAAACTCCTCAGCTATTAAAGTTATCAATAAAGTTTTGAAACTTTTACGCTGGTATGGTCAATACAAAGTTTACATTAAAATTTTTGCTAAAGAAACTAAAGATAAGAGTAGATAAATAAAAGTCATAAGTTTTTAGAGTTTTATTTATTATAAAAAAATAACATATAACATATATTTTTAATTTAAGTTTATGGACTTATGTCTTTTTCGGAAGGAACGCTTTTTTGTATATAAAAAACCAAAGATTTTAATGTAATACAAAGTTTACATTAAAGTTTAGCAATATTTAATATTACTAAACTTTAATGTAGATATTTGTTATTTCTTTTTTTTTAATCAACTTTATTTCTTTTATAAGTTTTTAATACTTTTATGTATAAATTAGTTTAAATTTATAATCATTCATAAATTAAACATTAAAATTAATATATAGTTTATATAAATCTAACTAGTTAAATTAACATTATCTCAAATGAGGCTGATGTAAATCAGCCACATTTGAGATAATAGTCCTATTATCCTATAAGTAAACATTATATCAAGTTTCTACCATATTGAATACTTAATCTATTAAAACAATAATACCTCCAAGGTACACCACCTTGGTGGTGTACCTTTGCTGTAGTGTAAGCTATTTTTTTAAATTAAAAAAGGGATGAAAAAATTTGACTGAATCTTTAATAAAAAATCCTAGAGTAACAAATATCATAAAGTTATAGAAAATATATTGTTACAGAACATATTGAAAGTATTTTTTTTTTAATACTTGTAAAAGTTTAAAAATACCTCCGAGGTACATATTTCAAAAGAAATAATCATTTTACAAAATTTATAATAAAAAAAATCTAATAAAAATCACTTTTTTCATTTATAAGTTAAAATCTTTTAATTGCTATGCAGTAAAATCTTAAAAAATAGTTCATATATATATATATATATATATATATATATATATATATATATATATATATATATATATATATATATATATATATATATATATATATATATATATATATATATATATATATATATATATATATATATATTAGGGTGCATCAATACTTTCAAAAATCGATCTGTCCCACGGCTGTTTCAAACCGAGCTTAACGGCTTCTTGTTATTTTTTGAAAATATTGACTTAAGGGGTGTTACTAAAACTTCTATAACTTTTAAAATATTAAAGATAATTTTGATTTGTAAAAAGAATAAAAACACCAATAAATGTTTCATCTTACGACATTTAATGCATTAGTAAAAAAACTTCTTTAAGTTTAAAAAAAATGCGACAAATGATGAAGTTGGCTGAATTCAAGTAACTTATTTTCCTAAGCCAATAAATTCATTGCATTGTAAAATAAAGCCAGATTTCGATTTTGGAATATTTAGTCAAAACATTTAAAGCTTAGGCATTTATTTTTTTCTGTACATACAGTTCTAATAATATGGTTGTTAATAAATAAAGACTCGCCAAGTCTAATAAAATAATTCATGACCAAACTTGAGTTTAAGTTTTTGAATTAACCTCGCTTTTGGTAGTAGAATTATTTTATATACTTGAATCTAGTCTTTTCTCTCAGTAAATAAAGTGTTTGAATATACAAATAGCTAATTGAAATCTTTTGAAAATTTGTTTTTATTCCCATTAAAAACTGTTTTATAATCAGTTGGTTTACTGATAGGTTCTTTAAGTAGTAAACTATCTTTGTACATCCAATTGATATCAGATTCATACTCATGCTAAACCAGAAAAACAATTGCTCCACTCAAAATTTTGATAACGTTTACAAATTCTTAATTTATTGAATTAAATTTTTACACCAACTTGATATGAGATTTATATTCCATTCTTTAACCAGCGAGGAGGTATGTAGAGCAGAGGTACTGCAAAGGTAGAACTAACTTCTGGTGATAAACATCGAATGGATATGTAAAATATCTATAAAAAAATGTTACATATAATGAAGGACAATATATTTTTTAAATTAAATACACAAACATACAAGATGATACCCAACCAACATACCAGTTGCTCTGATCACAAGTTAATATATAAAAGCTAGATTTTTACATACATTTGATGCAAGACTAGTATTCCATTCTTTAACCTGAGCGAAAGGTATTGCATAGGTATAAATAACTTCTGAGGATAGGAACAGAAGGGCACCTACCTAATATAAAAAATCAATATATTAAAAAATAATAATTTAAACTAACATTACACAGATATTAGAACAGAATAAAATTATCTTATATATAAATTAAAGATCTCATATAATTTATCTTACTTAAATAGTTTTTTTTTGTTGATGTTGTTTTTAATTTTTTAAATATTTTAACTAAATTTGATGACCACAAACAAGACAAAGACCTTGTCTATAAAATGAATTTTCGCCACGCTCAGAACACACAACACACTTTCTCACCTTAGAGGCGTGAAGCTTCCTATCAGCTTTGCTGTGCAATTCAAAGCGTTTTAAAACAAGATGCAGCTTCTGCTCCTGATTTCTTACTGAATGCAACTGTCTTAATTCCTTATTTACGCTATTATGCAAACACTCTCCCTCCTCTTCACTTAGCAACCCAATAGTTTTATGGAATTTTACAAAAAGTGGCACATTAAAAATAAGTTCATGCATTTTTCGTGCGATACTTTCATTTGGAAAGCATGCATGAAACTCAATAGCAAATAAATTTATATATTGATGAAAGCTAGCAGCTGAACCCTGGTGTCCCAGAACATCATCGATAAAATGAAAATCTATACCTAAGAACAACCTGACTATTTTGCCTTTTAGCTTAAAATCAGACGACTGAATTCTTTTAATGTCGTTGGCAAAATACCCGAGAACTATTCTCACGACAGTCTGAACCCTGATACATACAAAACAAGTGAACATCGTATACAGACCCTGATGATTTAGAATTGACAACTTCAAAATGGAATTTCATATACTTCCCACCCTTATCACCTGCAAAAAGGAGCCATACTTCTTCGCCAAAACCGACATCTGAATTAAGGTGGTCGCGTACATAAAGATTATTAAAAACCTCTTCAATATAAGTTGTCAAATTCTTGACCATCAGTACAGATAATAAACAAGGTGCTTCATTCGCAGATGGATAAAGTAACATGGACTTCACAGTGACATGTTCTTTATTGACATGCATTGTCTGCATTTCTTGTTCTTGTCTTATCTTGGGCTCAGATGGGAGAATCCTTGCATCAAGATTACACAGAATACGTCTTAGTCTACGGAATTCAGCCGTAGGCATCCTTAATTGGCTATGTAGCTCTACAGCATCAGAAACACTTAACTGCTTAACTAAATCCAACTTATTTGCAACACAACAAAATATTGACTTTTCACAAGACATAGAATCACAAAACAACATAGACAAATCACTTTCTAAATCTGAACAAGCTAATAATTGAAGGAATATAAAAGCAAGTTTAGATCGTCTAGCTGCAGCATGCCTACCCAACTTAGAATAAGGTTTACCATTTCCTAACTTAATGTAAGTATATTTTTTACTAATTATTGGTTTTTTAACTGATATATTCTGTGGATTACTTAATTTAAACCCACAAAATAATTCAGAGGAACCAATGTTGTCGTAGTCTAAATAAGAATCAACCACAACTAAATCCTTATCGCTACTAGCAAAACATTTGCAAATTTGGCAACTGTTCTGGCTTAAATCACTAATTTTTGCAATTTTTTTTTCAATATTAATTTTTTTTTAGCAACCTTACATTTTTGGCACGAGCAGATGCAAATTTACGCTGTGCTGTTTTAATTTTTTTTTTTTTTTTTAAGAAAAAACTGCTCCTCCTGTTTTTGCCTAATACTCATTGTCTCTAATTGAGAACTTAATGAGTTACAATGTGTGTCGAGAGCCCTATTTTCAGAATTTAAATCTGTTATTTCAGCTTCCAACTTAAATACTTGCATTTTAAATTTTTCTATTTGCTCCATATTTGTTTTATTTTCAGAAGTTAATTGATCAATTTGATTCAGTAGCTCCTGACTGTTATTTAAAGTGAAAAAGTCATCTGCATCTGCTGTTTTTTTTTTTTTTTTGGGTGGAGCTTGTGACAGTTGCATTTTAAAAATTTTTTTATAGCTTTAAAATTTTTTTTATATTTCTTTTTTTGGCGTGTAAACTTTAGGCACATTTTATCAAACTCATCATTACTAGGCATATCAAAATCAATTGGCAAAAGAAAACTCATAAAACTAATTAAATCACTTCTTATTTTAAAGACTGTCATTAAAATGGAAATCACATTGTTACTGATCTTATCTGTCCTAATTAATCGCTTAACAAAAGGAAAGTTACACCTATCTTCCCAACCATTTTTCCACCCAATATGTTGTTTTAGAATTTCCCCCTCAGTTAAATACATAGTTATGAAAATAATATTGACTTATTAATCAATATAATAAAAACAAATAAAATAATATTAATTAACAAATATATGCACTAGATAAAAGTGGATTTAACAACTTATCTGATATTAGTTTGATAATCCAAAGAGAAAAATTCCGCGTAAATTTGTTTACTTTATACTTCAAAAATTGACTCGCCGAAACAGTTGTTTGAAGAATATTTGTTAATAAATAGTTTGGGACGTAACGCATAAAGGTTACGTCATCGCAAAAAAACGTCAACACAAATGTACGCCTAAAACTAACAAGATTAGTTGTAAAACATGACATTTTTGAAAACATATTTCATAACATAGCTGAAGGCACGTAAAATAATTTTTTTATTTTCATTTGCATAAAAGGTTGAAATTTCATTAACTTACGTCATCCATCAAAAAAGTTACGTTTTGCATTTAAAAACGATCAATTAAAAAATATAAATGCTTTAAAAACAGTCTTTTTGTAAAAAAATCTCTAGGATGACGCAGGAATCTGATAGAATGGGCATTTAGGGTTAAGTGTTCCAAATTTCAACTATCAAGCACAGAGCTATGTTATGAAATCTTAGTTGGCCCAACTTATGTTTTCCGGAAAATATGCAAAAATTAGAAAAGTGGTTCTAAATTATTAAAAATATTTTGGCAATATTTATTTTTATACCAATTAATGTAAATATTTATTTAACAAAGAAAGATAGATCTTTTATATTTTTTTAATTGCAAGATGAAAGCATTTATATAAAAAAGTTACTATTAATTTAAAGTTTGTGAATTTTTATACTTTTTATGCGGAAATACTTTTTTTTTTGATAAACTCATGACGTCAAGCTCGTTCTTATATTGAGTGAAACACCAGTGGTCCCTATTCTTAAAACATTCTTTTAGTTCTCACAAGCAACTCTGTTAAATTTTTCAAAATTAATTGAGATTTAGGAAGGCCAACTTTTTTTTTTCTGTTTTTCAAGTTTCACTTGCAACAAAACCCTAAACAGAAAAAAAAAGTTTTTTAAATGTATGTCATGTTGGGTCTCAAAAGAAGATAGATTTTATGTAAATTTTAAAAATAATAAAAATTTATACATGAATTATTATTTTAAGTTTTATTGCATAATTATTAATTTTTTAGCAAAAAATTAAAAAAATTATTTTTTCATGATTTTTGTTGAAAATAAGTTATTATCAAGTTATTTTTAACAAAAAAGGATTACTATTTTTGAAATTTTTATTAAATTTCACTTCTTTTGAGACCCAACATGACATACAATTTAAAAACTTTTTTTTTTTGCATTTAGGTTCTCGTCGCAAGTTTCAGGCTTAAAGTGGCCCTCCTAAATCTCATTCAATTTTGAAAAAATTTAACAGAGTTGCTTGTGAGAACCAATAGAAAGTTTTAAGAATAAGGACAGATCAATTTTTGAAAGTATGGGGTGTTTGATGCACCCTAATATATATATATATATATATATATATATATATATATATATATATATATATATATATATATATATATATATATATATATATATATATATATATATATATATATATATATATATATATATATATATATATATATATATATATATATATATATATAATTTTTTTTTTTTTTTTATAAAATGTACATACATCATATTTTTATCATATTATTTAAATGTATATATTAATCATTGTATTATAATTTTATTAAAGTTTAACAATTATTGTTATTTAAAGGAGGAGCTGCTATACTGCCACCTAATAAGCGAAGTCCTCCTCAAAACAATGAATCAAATCAGCCTCCAAATTCATATCCTTCTCCAATAAATCCAACAAGTTCTTCTGGAAATCTAGCTGGCCAAAGATTACCTACACCTCAAACTAATTCCAAACCACCACCTCCTCCATCCAGAGAGTTATCTTATGATCAACAAAGGGTGGGAGTTGCATCATTGCAAAATGATTCTGTTAGTTTACCTATTTCCAATAAACCGCCTCAGCTTCCTTCAAATCAAAATAGGAGTGGTGCACTACCAACACAAACTAATGTTAGAGGTCCACCACCAATTTCTGTTAACCCACCTCCCCCTCCACCAAATCGATCAAGTGGACCTCCAAATTCTTCAAGAACGGCCCCACCTCCTCCTCCTTCAAGAGATTCATTAAACACTCGTAACTTACCACCTCCGCCGCCTAATCGAATGGGTGGGAATCCATCTCAAAATGATTCGCTCAGAAGAGTAGCAAGCTCTTCAAGTATTGGTGGAATTGAAATAAATGTATCTTCCTCATTCAGCAATCAACCACCACCACCACCTGTACATCGAACTTCTGTTACAACTGCACCTCCTCGCCAAAGAAGTGCAACAACAGATGATATACAACCTCCACCTCCGCCACCACCTCGAGGTAGTGGTATGCGGCAATCGATGGTATTTCCTCCTCCGCCATCACCTTTGGATTCAAGTAATATATGTTTTTTTTTTTTTTTTAAGATTTTCGTTCTAGTTATGTATTAACCTATCTATGCTTTTTAAGTGTTTAATATGCTTATTTACAAGGAGTGATATAGTCTAACAAAAGAGAATTGTGAAATATTTTAAAAGTCTTTACTTAAACACAAGTTTAAAAAAAAATTTAACATTTACCTTTTGCAAACAAATTCTTTTTAAGATTGAAAAAGTATTGAAAGCAAATAGTGATTTACCTGGCCCTTTTGATTTTTTTAAAGTTTCTCTTAGAACTCTGACATTAAAGGGTGTTCGCTCAAAAATAGAACTACAATAAAAAATTTTAAAAAAGTGTAAGTATGTATTTTTGAAAAAAATCAAATTAAGATTATTTTGCTGGACTAATGTAAATTTAATATTGTTAATCAATTCTTTTCTAGTAATCCTTTAAGACAAACTGCCTTTAATCTTCTTTTAGTTAAGCTGGCTAACTGCTGTAACCTCTGGAATGGTTTTTTTTAAACAATACTTGATTCTTCTAATTAGTTTTTGAACTTTTTTGGCTTCCCACTTTCTTTTGTAGACTAACCCTTTCATATAACCCCAAAAATCTTTGATTGGTCTTATTTGAGAACTGTTGGAAGGATTATCTTTCCTAAGAACATAATTGATACTTTCACTGTCCAGCAAAGCAATGACATTTTTGGCATAATGAGCTAAATTAGGCCAAAAAATGTAAATTGTCATCAAGATATTGTTCATGTATGAACGGAATCAAAATATTTTCAATGCAATCTTTTTTTTAATGTATTTTTATTAACAAAACAGCCATATTGATCAGTTCTTTGCAACAGCCCTTTGCTGTTTCAAGTTGTTATGCTGCTCAGCTCTTTGCAACAGCTTTTTTCTGCTCAGACTGTTTTGCTATAGATTCCTGGTGAATATATTTGATGTTTATCTTTGTTTTAAACAATTTATGAGTGTGTGTGTGTGCGATCTAAATTTTGATTTTTTTGCTTCTTATTGAATGGTTGCTTTGAAATTATTGTCAAAATAAGCAGCAAGCTAGTTGACTTTTTGTCAAAATTTTTTTATTTTTTGAACTCAGTCCATTTCATATGTTTTAATTATATGATATACAGTTGTTTGCGAAATATTTTCTGCTTTAAAATGATTACAAGTAAACACTTTTTTCTGTGTAATGTTACTCTCGAGTCCTTAATAAAAAAAAGGGGGAGGACATTTATTAATTTTATATAAATTTTTCCCAACCACCCGAAGCATATTAAGACCCCCCCCCCCATTTTCCTTGTTTATTAATTTTTACTTTAAAAAGTAAAAATTAATAAACAGAAAATAAAAAAATTTCAAAATTAAAAACAAATTCAGTAAAAATTGTTTTTTAAATCAAGGTCAAGGACTTTTATAACCTGTTTACACTGAAAGTGTAAACATATTTTAAAAGTCCTTGACCTAGTAAATCTAGATTTGTTGAAAATAGGCTTTTGGTTTATTTCTCTTTCAAGTATAAATCTTATATTAGCATATTAAATCCTATTGAAATTATGATAAAACAGCTGTTAGAAAATGCGCATTTGACCGCTAGCCACGCTAAAATTAAATAGTTTTGTGTATTTTTTTAAAAGTATTAGTTTAAATTTATAAATTAAAATTTTTTATAAAAAATACTTATATTGTAACATGAGGTTAGATCAGAAGTTTTTACTAACTAACCACCACCCCCCACCCCACCCATGGCCCCCACATCCTGAAACAGGACCCCCATGCTGGAGCCTGACCCCCTCCCCCTCTCTCTCTCTCACCTTGATGCTTGTGCATACAAAAAAAGAAAAAAAAATTTTCTTGGGCAGGTAAAAAAAGGGAGAAAACCATAAAAAATAAATAAAGTTTGTTATTTAAGAAACCGCTTATACTTTCAAAATCTAAATTATTTTTGTATTTATTTAGAGAAAAAAAAAAGGATTCGATTTTTAAATGATTTAAAGTTAAAATTCAAATAATCAGTTCAAAATTGATTTTTTAAATTAATGAGACTGAAAGATTTTATAGATTTATTCACCTAAAAATTGAAGCGCTTAACTTCACTTTTATCATGAAATGGTACGCATAATGGTACCATTTCATAATAAAAGTGAAGTTAAGCACTTCAATTCCCTTTAAAAACATTAATTAACTACTTAAATTAAAACCGCAAAAACAACCTAGATTGACATTTAACCAAACAAGGTAGTTTCCTTATTTGGCTGTCAATTTTTATTTATCAAAACATTATTTTCAAAACTTATCATAACATCATTTTTTTTAATGTTTTAAATAAGAAATTATATTGACAGTATATCTATCTTTATTGCTCTTGGCTAGTTAATTCCACGATGATAAAAAACCAAAAATCAAGATCTATAAAAGTGAAAGGCTGTTTAAATAATAAGATGACATCAAAGAAATATTTTAAGATTTATTTGAAAGAGAATATATATTAAATAGTATTGTTAAAGGGATCCCAAACTCCCGACACATGTTGTGTTCATATTAAAGATAATGTTAAAAAAAAAGGTTTGAACCAAGTTTTTTTGATTAAAAATAAATAATGAATGCTTACCATGAAAAATAAATGTTGTTGTTTTTGCCAAAGCTCGCTTTCTCCATTTTTTTCAATAAATCGGAGTCTTCAAATTATGCGTCGCAATCTACAGACTTTGGCAATTCCTCTGAAGCGCGTTTAATTCATAAAAGTTTTAGTATTTGACGTCACGGTAGACTTTTAACAAAAGAAACTCTGGAAATATTTTTATTTATTTTTAGTCGGAGTTTTTTTGGTTATTTGTTTAGTTTTTTTTTTTTCTACTTTTAATATTTAAAAAGATTAAAAACCTTATTTTATGCTGGTTCGTTGCTATAAATTGTTATTGCGCTATATATTTAATGTTTAAAAATTATGAATATTTAATATCTCAATCAAGACTCTGATAAAAAAATGTTTTACATTAATTACCCATATAAAATTAGTAAAAGCATTTTTATTTGGTTAGATAATATTTCGTCTCAATTTGCTTTGCATGAAGTTCGGGAAGTCAAGCGAAAAAAATTAGTTTGAATAATCATTTTGAAATATATTTAAAACAAGTTATTTTAATGACGGGGGTTTAAAAGTTTTTTATAACATATGTAGGTAAAAAATAAATAATTAAATAAAAAGTTCAACATTAAAACATCATTTCTTTATTATATTGCAACTGTAAATATTGAAATATTAACTTGAACTAAATTTACTTATTATTTAGAACGACTAAGCAATAAAAATAAAAAGCCCCTAAAATTATGCAATATTGTGTTGTTTATTTGATAATTCCTGTTGGTAATGTTGTTTATGTTGATTATTTTCATTAATATCAAAATAGTCCCAGATTAATCTGTTAGTTGCTTTGTTCATTGTTGCTTTATTTCTAATTTAATTTTATCTCTAAGTATAAATTTATGTTAAGAAAGAAAAGTTTTTATTTCATCGGGCCCTCTTTTTATAAAAGAGTAGAACAAAAGAGAAAGAAAAGTTTCGCGTAATTAAACTTTGAATGAATAAGAGTTGTATAGAATATATATTTTTTCGTTCTTTTTTTAGATGAAAGAAATAAAAGTTTAATAATAAATTTTCTTTGAATAAATGAGAATTGGAAGAGAAAATTGCTTGAAAATTTGTATTTGTTGTGTTTTAAAAATTTTCATGTTAGGAGACAAATGCCAAATATGATACAAATTGGGAAATACCTAATATAATTTATTTTTTAACGCGCGTTATGACATTTTGACAATTTAAATTACCATTTATCTTGAATTATTGCCATTAATTAATGTGTTAATTATTGCATTATATAAAAATAATTTGTCCGTATTTTTGTTAAATATTAGTTGTATAAAACGGGCAAAAATATACAAACTTCATGCTTTTATTTGATGGTTATAAAATATTGAACAGTAAACTAATACTCAAAATTTATAATGCCGTGTTGTTATTAATTGTACTTTTAATGCAAAACCAAGATCTCACAAATCCTTTCACGAATTTGCATATCTGATACTACTGTCAACTGTATTGTTTAGTGTATTCTTGAATTTTTTTTCATAACCCTAACAGGTTCTAATTGGTATGAAGTTGCCGACATTTTAAAAGTTTCATTATCAAAAATCAAATGTAAAATAAAATGATATTTCCTTTTTATCTGTATCCAATTCAGCAAATTTAGCAATTTAAAATAGATTAGTGTAATCAAAAAAATTTTATAATAAAAAAAGTTAACAATTCATCAAATATCTCTAACTAATACTGTCAGTTTATGAAATTAATTGTTAATACTTTTTTTTGACGGGAAAAGAAAAAATATCATAGCGTAAAAATAACCAGAGAAGTTAGAAAAAAGTTCCGATTGTTTAAATAAAAATAAGTAAGATTCAGAATATATAATACTGCGCTCTTTTGCACAAAAACGAGAGACCGTATACATAACGTTCTATATAATGTAAAACACTCGTATGAAAATCATAAGATTCGTAAGTAAAGCTTTAATATTTGTTTTAATTTAAAAACAAAAGAAATATAAGTAAGATATATAAATCAAAAAATTATTAGGATATCTGTAAAAAACAAGTTGCTCCTATAAAATAAAAATAATTTATCATTTTTTCTTTTTACAATTTTTTTTTGCAATGTTTAGAAAAATAATACAAATAAATTTGTTTTGCTGTATATTAAAAAAATACTACAGTAGAAAAACGCAGCTTAGTTTAATTACACTTTTCTTTTGTTAAAAGTCTACCGTGACGTCAAATACTAAAACTTTTATGAATTAAACGCGCTTCAAAGGAATTGCCAAAGTCTGTAGATTGCAACACATAATTTGAAGACTCCAATTTATTGAAAAAAATGGAGAAGGCGAGCTTCGGCAAAAACAACAACATTTGTTTTTCACGGTATGCATTCATTATTTACTTTTAATCAAAAAA